TATACCGCATAAAAGGCTGAAATGTTTACATATCAAAAGGCTATAGGCCAATTTCTGTCAAAATTACACATGAAGTTAAGCAGTACAAGCAATTTATTTAAACACTAGTCATTGTAGAAAAATTCAAAACCATATGCTCTTTTAGCAGTTTTTCACAAATGCATTTGACCCATGACTTGGCTAGACATACAAGCTTCATAATTTACTCTAAATTTCAAATCCCCTTGACGTTTAAATAAAAGATCTTCATTAATGAGGTTTACATGAATGAAAACTTTAGAAGCTGCTATCAGTTAGCGAGGGGCTTCGGGAACCGTCTGTGCATTCGCTCTCATTTTCAAATGACTGACTCCGCTAATCATTTCAAGAGAAAGTTCCACCGAGAACAAATTATCGTCATTTGCATTCTGTGATTTGCAAAAGCAACGGTGCAAGTCACTTTGAAACCAACTTTGGTAAACAGCTCGGCTGAGAGCGGGTTTCTGCAACCCTAGAAACCCGGGGCTATTTTTTTCTGATGCTTTGGGAAGACGTCATTTTTCGACACCCTCTTCTTCCTCCTCCCACCCTTCCCGCTCCACCCCCCCAGTTATGCTGAGTTTTCCTAACACCTTGATTATTTCGTCCTCAGGGGCTCAGAGCGCTTATTTGCAACGTTGCAAAACTTTGAGCAAAACTCAGCTAGTAAGCGTCCCTACATCGCTCTTGAACGCGTGCGGGAGATCCAGCCCTTGTGTGCACTTGCCTCTTAGCGCGCGGTGGGATCTGCACCTGGGGCTGTCCGCCACCCACCCGGCCTCGAAGGGAAACCCCCTGGGGCTACGGGAGGTGTCCTCCAAGGCGCAGCGCCGAGAACTGGGGCTTGAGCACAATTTCGAGGCACTGGATTTTTATTTATTTATTTATTTTTAAGCCCGTCTACAGACAGTAAAGCGGATTTGCGCTGTGAAGGCGTGGATGGGGGTCTCCACGCTGCGCACCAGCCACAGCCCGGTCTGCTCATTGTTCCTCATTCCTCTGCCCCAGCTAATTCACCCTTCCTTTGAAAAGGACAAGCCAGCTTTTTGCCCATGCCGCGAAAAATCCTTCTTAAGGGCATCCGATTATGAGCTGCGATCGGGTGAGAGGCCGAAAGAATTAAGAAAGTTCCCGAAACCTCATGAAGTTAGGACCGCATGTGCATATTTTTGTAACAGCCATGCGTGCATGCGTGTGCAGAAGGACAGTGGGCGACAGTTTCCACCAAGATGAGAATCTCTCGGGGTCCGAGGCGATATCCAGACGCACACGCCAAATTTGGGCACTCTGTTTTAAATCAGAGAGGCAATTTAATCTATGCTCTACGAGTCAATTTAGCGATGATTGTGGAGAAAAAAAGCGCCTTGACAGATACCCAACCGCACGCATACCTTACGCACTCGCAATCCGCTGATCTGTTCTTTAATATATTAAAAATGAGGACTATTACCGGGGCGACTGATTCCTCAACGAACACATTTTCATAGACTTCTGGCATGGTGATTGCTTTGTGTGAAATCGTGTTTGGGTGATAATAAGTAAAATCAGCGGCATGTTTACTGCATGTCCGACCAAGGCGCTTGCTGGCCGCCTCCGGACGCTCCCGGTCCTCCCCTGCTGAGCGGAGCCTGCAGGCCGACAAACAATCGCTTAGGAACAGGAGGCGGGCAATTTGCGTGCGTTGCATTTGTTATTCCAATTGCGCCTGGCTACGCAAGGCGGATGATTGTTTGTTTAGTGCCTGGCGGACACTTGTGGGTTTCGGCCGTGGAGGACACTCAGTGCGGGGCACCGCAAGGCGCACCGCCTTCCCGGGGCTCCCGCTTCCCCGCGGTCACCGTGCAGCCAGCACATTGAGGGGCAAGCAGGACGGGGAGTCCCCGCTGTGCAGGGGGTGAGCGCCCTAAGAAAAAGAATAGCCGAATCTCCGGGAGTACAGCGGCGTTTGGTTCCCTGTGTGGTCCCAGAAAGTCCCTTCCGCAAGAGGACAGAGCTTTCAGACTCCCTTTTCCTCATCTTGGACTCAGCTGATAGAGACCCTGCCCTCGGAGGGGGTGGGGATTGCAAGCTCCTTTGCCCCAGGGAAAAGAACTAGAAAAATGCCCCAGGTCTACCCTCAGTCTCCTGGGGAAGGGGCAACAATTACCCAGCCTCGTTAATTCTTAAAGTTGTAAGGGACCCAGTGATTACTGGCGTTGGTTCCATCAACTAAAACAAAACAAAACAAAACAAAAACAAAATACAAAAACCCGGAGACCTAGAGGGGGGTAAATTTGCAAGGTGGCAACGAAGAGTGGAGAGCTCTGACGCTCAGACTCCTTGTACAGTGCTCTTCCTTCCAGGAATCGGATGGTACCAAGAGCGCACTGCAGAAAAGCAAGGGGCGAAATCTAGGGGTCTGCTAAATCTGATCATTAAAAAGAACAGTGTACCAAGTGGAAGGAGGCATGGCGCGTGTGTGGTGAGGTCGCTTTATTTAAAAACTAGAAAGCGCTCTTTTTAGAAACCTGGCTGACGTGTCCGCGCCTTGCCAGTTTGAGCAACTTCACAGAAATGGACCGGGAATCTGCCTCGGTTTTCTGCAGCGCTTCTGCCTGCGCCCGGTTCAGCAGAGGTCTTAAAGGATCCACTAACGCTCGCGCCGCCCAGAGCGCCCGGCCCGGGACACAAACGTGGCCAAGACTCACTACGGGAGTGGCAGCCCCTAGTCGTCTTCCATCAATTGCCCTGCAGAATCAAACCCAGGAAAGGTCGGCAGGGAATGTGTGCCCGGGGAACTGGTAATTTTTTAAGTCTCCCAGAGTGGGGGCGGGGGAGGGGGGAAGCCTCTATTCCTAGGTAGTAGCAAAGGGAAAGCGAGGCACTTCTTTCCCTAGACCTGACCTTTCTGAAGGGGAGGGTCACACTCCATCCCCTGGGAGTGGTTTCTATCGTTAATTAAAAAAAAAAAAAAAATCGATTGTCTACCCAAAGGGAGACCCATCCCGGTCTGGCCCTAATCTCCCCCTACAACATCTTCTTAGTCTACTCAGCATTCGAAGAAGCAAGAAGCGAGTGGGCCTGAGGGTGCAGGGGTCCACGAGGGGAGGCCTAGGAGAAGCGCCGCCGCCTGGCTTCTCCCAGCCGCTCTCGCGCACCGCGGGAGTTCTGCGCCCTGGCCGGACCTACCCTCCGCGCCACCGCTCCCCTGACCCGAGAACAGCAATTGACAAGTGCCCTTTACCCTTTGCCCTACCGCCCGGGAGGAGGCAGCCCACAGACGTGGCCTGGCCGTAGCAACGTCACACAACCCTGCGGGGATCCCTGTTAATTAGCCAGAGAGCAACAGGGAGAAATGGGTTTGAGTTAAAGGCGGCCCTCCTTCGGCAAGCTCGAGCTGCCCCCCAACCCGGCCCTCGGGCCGTTTCGCCCGGGCTCGGCCCTACCCCTATGCCAGGAATGGCTGGAGGTTCCTGCGCGAAAGGCCGAGAAAGGCCATCTCTGCAATACTGGGGTTTGCGCCCGGCCCGCAGTGACCTCGGGGGGCTACTTTCGTTCCGCGCGCACCGTCGCCTACCTTCTCGAAGGGCGGTCTCTCGCCCGCGCACCGTCGTGGTCTGGATGAGTCTCCAGCAGCTCCTGCGGACGGCCCGTGCCGCGGCCCCTTGCTGCGAGCAGAGCCCGCCTTTGGCCAGGCCGCTGGGGCTGGAGAGCCCAGTCCGGGCCTGTCGGGTAGAAAGACAGCTAGGGAGCCTGTCCCAGCCAGGGAACCGGCGAGACGGATAGGGAAAATGCCACTTACTGTTGGGGAAGGGGGTGGGGAGTCCCCAAAGCCCCATTTACAGATTTTGGATTGAAAATAAAACCAGTATGCGGGAGAAGACACCCCATTTCCACGAATAATTTTTTAAAAGCAAAAGAAAAAACAGAAAACCTACCGACACCCTCGCGGGGAGCAGCTGGAGCGTGCTACTCTTGGTGGCGAAGTCTAACGAGCGGCTGAATTTGGTCTCTGCTGGGTAGGGGCCTTCGGATTCCTAAAGTAATTTTCAGACCCAAAGTGCCTGCGGAAAAAATAGATACACATATTTTAAGAACCACAACGCACCTCTTTCGTCGATTTCGCTTTTACAAATTTTGGCCTTTGCAAAAACAAAAGGGTTGGGGATGGGGTTAACCAGTTCCACTCGGGAGAGAATCTCGAAATTAAAAAAAAAAAAAATAGAGGAGAAATTTGGCGGTGAGGGCTTGCGGGTCCGGAGGAAGAGCGAACTTTTTAATCTTGAGAAAGGACGCAGACCCTCTGCATTTTCTGAAACAAACCAAGTTCCGAAATGGGGCAAAAAGTAGCCCCAAAGTAAAACTGGCCACAATGAATTGGAGTTTCTTGCAGAGGAAATCGCACCCAATAATAGGACCCAATCTGAGAAAAAGGGGTGGGGGCGGAGAGGTGGGGCGGCGGGAGTTGTTAACTGCGCCGCACAATGGAATTAATGAGATTAACCCGAGCAATTAGGAAGCCCGCCCAACTCCGCCGGCCCGCTGCGGGGCCGCTGAATGGGAAAGATTAGGTTAATTTCATTAATTTGCAATCCACAATCCCTTTTCTGGCCCCCGCAACCCCCTCCCCTTGGCACCTCTCCCCCTCCCCCTTCCTTACCACCACCACCCCCCCGCCCCCCGGAACAGAAAGGGCCAAATCTGGTTCTGTTTGTCATCTGCATATTACCAGGAACTAAATCCAGGATGACGTCGACTCAGTATAAAACCAACAAGAGGTTCAGCTGGTCTAAACTCCGTCCTACCCGCGGGTTGAGTTCGGCGAACGCTGCAGCGAGGGGAGGGCGGGAGGAGGGAGAGCGGACGCAGCGGGCGGGGAGGGGCGCGGGGCTGCGCGCTCGCCCGCGCTCTCTTTCGTTTTGGTCCGCCGCTGGTGCAGCGTGGACCCCCGCCCCCCGCCCCCCGGCTTTGAGGCTTTTTCCCCGGCGCCTCCCCGCCGCCCCCCGGTCCCGGCGCGGGGCTCGGGGATGCCCGCCAGCATGTTCAGCATCGACAACATCCTGGCCGCCCGGCCGCGCTGCAAGGACTCGGTGCTGCCCGTGGCGCCCAGCGCCGCGGCTCCCGTCGTCTTCCCGGCCCTTCACGGGGACTCGCTCTACGGCGGCGGCGCCTCCTCGGACTATGGCGCCTTCTATCCGCGCCCGGTGGCCCCCGGCGGCGCAGGCCTCCCGGCCGCGGTCGGCGGCTCCCGCCTCGGCTACAACAACTACTTCTACGGGCAGCTGCACGTGCAGGCGGCGCCCGTGGGCCCGGCCTGCTGCGGGGCCGTGCCGCCGCTGGGTGCCCAGCAGTGCTCCTGCGTTCCGACGCCCCCAGGTAGGGTCGCGCTCGCGCCGGCCGCCTTGCCGCGGTCCTTGGTCCCTGGGGCATGGGTGGGCGGTGGCGCTGGCTTTTCTTGTCTCTACTTTTTTTTTTTTTTTTTTTTTTTGCATTAACGATTTTCTCTCCCCCTTTTTTTGGCCGATCGGGCACGGGGGTTTTTGTACACTTGCTGCAAACTTGAGGCGAGTTAGAGGAAACTAACTTACTGGCTTCGTGGGGGAGACGAGGCTTTTTGGGATTCCCTAACTGACTTTGGGAGTGAGCGGGTGGACGCTCTAGCACGGTTCCCCCATTTCCCTGCGTTGTCGATTTCCGCGCGTCCCCAATTCCCAGCACCCCGTTGCAGAGGATTTTTTAGAGTGGGTGGGTCGCGGGGCAGGCCGGCTGGCGGTGTGCGCCGTGGCAAGGCCGACCGTGCGCCCTCCTCTGTCGCAGGCTACGAGGGCCCCGGCTCGGTGCTGGTGTCCCCGGTCCCGCACCAGATGCTGCCCTACATGAACGTGGGCACGCTGTCGCGCACCGAGCTGCAACTTCTCAACCAGCTGCACTGTCGGCGGAAGCGGCGCCACCGCACCATCTTCACCGACGAGCAGCTGGAAGCGCTGGAGAACCTCTTCCAGGAGACCAAGTACCCAGACGTGGGCACCCGCGAGCAGCTGGCCCGGAAGGTGCACCTCCGCGAGGAGAAAGTGGAGGTGGGCGCGCCGCCCGGCCCTTCCCGGCGAGTTCGGGCCCCCGCCTGCTTAGCTCGGCTCCGCAGCTGGGTTAGGTTCCGGTCTCCCCGAACTTGACCGACATCCCGCGGCAGCCTGGAGGCTGCTGGAGGGCGCTTTAGGCCCAGGAAGTTGCACGGAAATGCGGAAGCGGGAGCGAGTGTCTGGTCTTTTTGTGGGCGTGCGCGCGGGATCCCCGGGTTCCGAGCCTACCCGCGTCACTCGCGGCTGCCGAGGGCCCCGAGGGGTGCCCGGGCCGCAGGGGGGTGGTGCGGGGAGCGGGGAGCGCGCCTTTGATCTTAACTCTTGTTTTGTTCTCCGTTGCGCAACAGGTCTGGTTTAAAAACCGCCGTGCCAAATGGAGGCGGCAGAAGCGGTCCTCGTCGGAGGAGTCGGAAAACGCCGAGAAGTGGAACAAGACGTCGTCTAAGGCGTCGCCAGAGAAGAGGGAAGAGGAAGGTAAAAGCGATTTGGACTCGGACAGCTGACGGCTGCGGGCCGGCTGTGGCTCTTGTCTAACTCGAAGGACTTGCACAGACAGACGATGCTACTTTCTTGCACACGCGCTGCCTTTCGGGGGGGGTCGAGAAAGAGGAATGAGGAGCTGTAAATAGTGTACAGAACTGGGAGGGCCGGCGCCTGGGGTCGGGGGTCGCGCCGGGGCTCGCAGCCCCGAAGTCCTAGACCGCTGGCGCCTCACTCCCCACCGTAGTATTTATAGTTAAGTTAACGGTGACAATACAATAAAGTGATGGCGACAATACAATAAAGTGATGGCGATGTATACGGGCCACATTCTGTATTTCGTACCCACCTCCCCCACCCCCTTCTGAGGCCCAAAAAAGAAACTTATTCAGTCTTGCGGCTTCCAAAGAAAAGTGGGGCAGCTCTGACCTGTACCAGAAAAAAGGAAAAGGAAAATCCTGGGCGTGACTTGGTTCCAGGACGGGTGTCGATCCACTACGTCTCTAAGTCTTCTGCAAGAGGTGGAGAGGGGATTTGCAGGCTGGGGGGGTGGGTGGGTAACATTGCCTGCAAGAGAGGGGACTGCATGGGGTTCCTGTTCCCTTTGCCGCTGCTGGGAAGCCATAGCGGGAAAGCAGGATCTGTGGGGAGCTGGGCCATCCTGGGAGCCACTCCAAGAGCTAGCTCAGCCTATCCCCGTTCCCACGAAATCCCCACTTCTAAGGCTGGGACTCTAGGGGGAGTTAGGTGGATGGGCATGGCTCTCGCCCCACATCTTTTCTGGATCTTCTGGCTGCTCTGCCAGTGCCCTTCTAGTGGGGCAGCGTGACCGCCCTACAACCCTGCTGGCTGCTATCCTATCTGGCGGCTCTAAGCAGCGGTCTGGGGCCCCCTGGGAACCTCGGCAGGCACTGGGCCCAGTGTCCTTTGGCCCAGGCACCTGGGGTGGCCAGGTCTGCACCCTGAGTTCTGTTGGCCAACCCGGTATCAGAGTGTGGGGTGGCCACCAAGGCACTTGGAGGCGGGAGTGCTCATGTCTTTGGCTTTCTCCCCTCACCATCTCCCCTGTGCACTAGATGGGGCCCGAGGAGGAGCACCCCCAGAGCGCAGCTGGTGGGTGGGCTGGTCAGCAGCTTATGAAGGACTGGAGAGGCAGAGAAGCTTCCTGGTGCTGGTGCTGGCTCAGCTGAGAGCTTGGGACGCTTGGGACGGGGATGAAGACAAGAACGTGCACACTGTATGGGTCCCCAGACCCCGGGCCAGCGGTTGGGGTGGGTGGAGACCTAAGGCTGGCAGGAGTGGTTTTTAATGCTTCTGCTTTATTGATTTTACCTAAATCCATTTTTTAACAGATAAGGAAACTAAGGTTCTAAGAGCTGCTGGGGTTGGTGGATGTGTGTGTGCACGCACACCCCCCACCTTGTTCTACCTTTTCAGTTCCCTGGGGTATTTGGTGGAAGGACCCTCCGGGGGAGGACTGTGCGTCCAGCCTGTGGAGCACAACACATGCGGAAGGAGGGCTTTTACAAGAGGCAATATCCCCCCCCCACACACACAATGGCCTTCTCATGTTTAAAAGGAAAAGTGACTCCTCGAGTGGGTGAAGGGGACACGTAGGAAATAAGGAGTGACTCCCAGTTAGTCACCTGTTTAGTAAGATGGAAGCAGGAGACCACTGTTTGGAGATCAGGTACCTAGAGGGTCAAGGTCGCCTTGGTTTATGTGTGACCTTGAGCAAATGACTGAACCTCCTTGGGTTTGCACCTTCTGGGACTGTAAAACGGGCACAGCCATGATCTCTGCTTTCAGGGGCTGGTGTGGACAGGAAAGGCACTGAACTAACTTACTCTAGAGTTAATAGCTGGTTTGGGGAATCCTTCGGCATGGCTACCTGCTTTTTAACAATACTACCACTTACATTTTATCAGATCCGGCATTTTGGGCTTTATGTCCCTTTTCATTTTGCCCTTTAAGAAGCTCTTGAGGTGGGGAGTTTCCACCATTTTACAGATAAGAAAATTAAGGCTCCGAAAAGCTAAGCCCTTTAATAACATTCAGTTTCAGAAGATAATCATATTTGGGCATTTTTGCCCAGGTAGGTCTTCAACCGTAATTGGGAATCTTTCCACTGATACTAGTCATGATGAGAAATACTCAAAGGCTGTTACATTAATTTTTTAGCGAATCTTGGCGATGGCTGTGACATCTCTTCCATAGACCTCAGACTTCATGGCACCCACCCTCCTCCATTGCTGTTTCTAGGTGCTGTTTTCTGTCCTACTGGAAAGAGGGTCATTCTGCCGGCGGGTGGGGGGTGGTGGAGGCAGGAAGAGCTCCAGTCTAGAACATTCTAACATAGGACTTAAATGGGCATCATTCTACCGGGAGACATCGGATGTTCCAGAACTCCGTGATAAACTCCTGTGTGTGTCTGTCCATGACTTGCCCTTTGACTCCCTATAAACTGGGATCTTCCATTTTTTCTTACCTGCATTTGTCTGATCTGAAGAGGTGTCCATGTCAGGTGAAGGAAGAGAGGGATTGCAAGAGGCGTAGGTTCTGACATTTCTTCCCCCCAAGGAGCACCTGGTGAAAAGCCAGGACAAATGGGGTGTGCAAAGGGGGAGAGAGAAGAGCCAGGGAGCTCCTCCCTGCTCACCCCGGGCAGATGGCAAGGTGGCAAGATGAAGGTCCTTCCCTGTCCTTCCCACAGTGCTTCAGCTGAGGCCAAGCTCACTGGAAATGTAATAAACATCTGGAACAAAGAGGGAAATGTTGGGATGGTCTTAATTATATATAGTTCACCCACCTTTTGCATTCCCCGGTCAGCTGTGGGGTGCAAACTTTTGTCTTAGCCTGGCCATTGGAATCAGAGAGGGACAGATCATCTCTTGGAGCGGAAGGCACCTGGCCTTTAAGTGCTGTCTTTGGGCCGTGTTGTTGTCTTGGAGACTTTGGCTCACGGTGCTGGAAAGTGGTGTATATGCACGTATAAGGGCAAGGCATAAAGCAAGTGACTTCCTGAATGGCCGGTAGCCTATACGACACTCCCCCACCCTCAAATGAAGGCGTTCTCCCCATTGGACAGTTGAGAGCAGCTGAGGCACGGGGTGAACACAAGGGACCAAAACGAGAACTGTCATCTTCAAGGGACAAGGCTTTTAAGATCTCTAAATCAGGCTGCCTCACTGAACAGAGAACGTTGTTTTGGTGGGGAGGCTGCTGTGTGTAAAAGTTCCCCAACAGCAGATGATCATGGTTGTGAGTGTACTTGCCTCTGGGGGACATAGGATTAATCTGCCCTAAAGTGCTAGATCTGGCAAAGAAGAATGATGACAATCCTAGCCACTCAGAGGAGTCACACTCCACCGTGGAGCCCTCCCACATCTCTGGCCCTCTGGAGAAGAGAATTGCAGCCCATTTTGCAGATGGGAAGTAGAGGCTCAGATAGACGACATGCCTTGCCTAGAACACATAGTAAATGGCGGGGCAGGTCCGGAAAACCCTAGACCTGAGCAGACTCTCCCACACACCTCTTGGGGTGATAGCAAGGTATGAGGTAATGGCTTCCAGCTGCCACAGGTCACCTGGGTCAAGAAGGGCCCTGGCTGCCGGCAGCTAACAAGTACGGAGAGTGGAGTGTGTGGGGCAAGAGACGGGCTGCTCGTGGTTCTGGGTATGCTGCGTAGCGGGTACGTTCTCATTGTTGCCATGAGCTGTGCGCATGCCAGGTGGGGCAAAAGGGCCTGGAAACAATTGTTTTACAAACCGCACCCCTGGGGTGTACCTTTCAGTGACAGTTTTTGAATCAAATTGTCTTCTACTGACTTGAGAACTGTGAGCTCTTGTCTTAAGCCTTGTGTGAAGGACGTCATTTTAATGGGTACGTGTGAGATCGAAGCTGGTAGATTTCTCTTTCATTTCTGTGTGTATGTGTTGGGGGGGGCACAGCTGGAGGCTCGGAGGTGGGGCGGGGTGATGTCTCTGACTTGTACGGGGTTTTAAGTGACTCAAGTAAAATCGTTCAGGCGTCAAGACTCCCAGCCAGAGATCCTCGGTCAGGTCCCCCAAGTCGACTTTCCCTTATTCGTGGCAAACTGCAGATGGAAACCTCTCCCTTAAGGAAGATGGAATTCCAGCCCAGGGAGGGCAAGGTGATGGCAGGGTGGCAAGGGGATGGCTGGGTGACTGGTACAAGCGTGCATCTGGATGAGGCCATGTGCGTATCCTGTGACCCGGGAAAGGTTCCTTCCTCACCTGCGCAGTGGGCTGCGGTTGAGGATTAGAACAGTCTGAGAACCCAGCAGTGTGTCTGACACATTTATTATTGTGTGCTTTGAAGAACACCTTCAGGTTGGCGGGATAATGCCCTCCGTAAGTAGGTTGGAATTAGGAACTGAGGAACGCCCCTTGGTTTTTAATTGTTGCTGGTGTAGGAGTTCATGCGTGACCGCAGGACACAGACTATAATGACATTAAACATGACCACCATGGGTTTAAGCCAGGGAAGCATCTGGTAAGTTGTGATAGGTTGCCTTCTCCCTAAGAGGTTTAGGACGAGGAGATACAGGGCGAAGGAGAGACTTTGGCATGGGTTTGGATTCCATTTCCAAGTTTTATGAAATGACCTTGGAGTTTTTCAAAAGTAAAATGAAAATGGAAGACGGCAGCCGGGGCAGAGCTCCTTGAAAGTTCTAGAAGAGATGGAGCCGGCTGGGTCTTTTGGTTGCAGGGGCTTCTCGTTGGGGAGACATGGTGTGTCCCCGAGGCCCATCCCTAGAGCCGTGTGACAATGCAGAGGACCTCTGGCTTGGTTTTAAATCTGGAGGTGGGGCGGAGTGGGGAAGAACGATTGTCTTTTCGTAGTCCAAAAGACCCATGGGACAACAGGATGAATTACAGCATGTTGCGGTATTTTTAAGTGGGTCCATAATTTTTGGATTCCAGCAGCTCTCATTTGTTCTCGAGTGTCCAGCCCTGGGAAGCCTCAGTGAAGAGCCATCTTAAGAATCCCTCTCCCAAACCCTCCTCTCTTCCCCGGGATTCGTTCCACTCCTACCTTCTGTTTTCCTAATTCCGAGGTCCTCTGGAGTCCGCTGACCAAAGCGAACGATTGGGTTCAGTCGGGTGAGCTGCGTTTTGCCGAGTGTTTGCAGCCTTCCTCCCTTAACCTGAGCTGATTTATGGAAGGTGTCGTTAGTGAGATAATTTCAGCTGTGATGGACAGAGTTCAGAAGCGTCCGTATCCTTTCTTTCCTGATATGCGGGTCCTAGAACGCGGAGCCCT